TATATATATATATATATTAAGGATACTAAATATATTCTTCATGGACAGAGTTAGAGAAGAGTAATTTTAAATTACTTGCAAAACTGTCTTCAACATGTGTCCTATAAATTATAGAATGTCCTTATTTTAAAAAAATACTTTTTTTGTTTGTTTTAGAGGAATACAGAGATAGAAACATTGATGAGAGAAATACCATTGATTGGCTACCTCCTGCACACCCCCTACTGGGGATCCTGCAACTGGACATGTGCAGGAATCAACCAGAGACTTCTTGGATCACAGATGGAAGTTCAATAACTGAGCCATACCAACTGGGCAAGAATGCCGTTTTCCCTTTTTTTATGAGTATGTACCATAAAACTAGGCAATTAAATCCTATATAACTGAATGAAAGTAATTGAGGATTCAAAGACAGAAACTAATGAATCACCAAAAAACCTCCCAGTGACCAGCCATGGGGGAAGTACAATTATCTTATCAAATTTTCTGTTTTATCCCACTATCAATAATTGTTTTTTGTGATCACTATTTCATTTCTACATTATTTGTGTGACTATTGCTACTGTTGCCCCTATTGCAAGCAATAAAGCAGAAAAATTTTCTAGAAGTTATAAATATTCCCTGTAATGAAATATCAGGGAAGCTGACGAGACAAGAGATTTGTTGAGGAGTAACTTCTTCTATCTTTTGGATTCTATGCTTGGAGACCTCAGACCATCATTCTACAAGGTCTTTTGCTGGATGACTATTGCCTATTGTTACTCCATTTCATCAAGGCAAGGTGATCCACCAGCAATACTGCCAGGTTAATGGTAATCAGCAGACTAATTTTGTTACTGATGGAAGATGGAAGTGTTGGAAATTTGTAAGGCTTAAACAGATCTGATACTAAGTTTTATGGTCTCTGGTTTTACAAGTCTTCTCTCTATTAGAAGAATTATAATACTGACTGTAGCAGGAATTGGGCAATGAAATCTTAAGGAATGATGAGATTATACCTAAGTTTACAAGTGTGCTGTACTGGCTGGTGCCAGAAGATCTGGAATAAGGTCCCAGCCAACCTTACTTCCCTAAACCACTGAAATCTTGAGACTAATTAGTAAAACCAAGAAAAAAAATTAAAATCCAAACCCAGAATTTTGGTTAAATAAGACATCCATTTAAAGTTATTCTGTAAACTTTAAAGTATTTAAAGGATAACTGGCTCTTCTCCATTTAAATAGAAAAATAGAAAAAATATCACTTATCATGTGTTTAGTATAATCTCTTAGGAAGCTTTTAGGATTTACAAAAAGCTTCCTAAAATAAACTATTAAAATAATGAAAATAAATGCCTATTAAAATAATCAAAGTCCTAAAACTTTAGTTTTAAATTTTAAAATTTAACTTTTTAATATAAAATATATCTATTTTTTTCCTTGCTCAGAGCATGAAAACAAACAAATAATGAGCTCTTTGAAGAATGATCTCTAAACATGTAGCAAACTCATACTCCTGTATTGTATTCACTGTGGAATATCTGATCACTGGATATAACCACTATATTGGTCCAGTGAGTATTCATATTTGATAATCAAGATAATCACTAATTTCTACTGCTGTTCCTCTGCCACTTCATAAGGCATGCATGATTGGTCCTTTAGTATTTCCCTCTCATTGACCATGGACTCTAAACCATTATTTGTTGGTTTTAGACCTTTACAATGCCCAGTGGCATTTTCCACTGATGACAGCAATAACAGATGATACTGAGTGAGAGCTACTGGGAATGAAATGCAGAATGTAAGATGATAATGAATAACTGTCAGTCCATTACTAAACAGTTTCTAAAATTGATTCTATTCATATTTGATATGTCAATCTCTATAATACTAGAACCAAAAAGGCTTTGATAATATGAGCAAACAAAAAGAAGCCAAACACTTGTCTTGTCCAGTGAGCAAGAATTCCTCAATGATCATGCCACATGTATTCAAATAATGCTCAACAGATCCTACTTCAAAATGTTTTGGTATCTTCTCAATTTCTTCGTACCTGGCAAATGTGTCAATAGTACACTCAGACTAATGAATACAAAGTTTAAAAATGCTGGATAGAATACAAACCCAAAGTCTTGAATGGCTATAAGACTAAACATATGAGTATATTCTAGATATAGATATGGAATGATAAGAAATGCAGGACTATATAAGATGGCTGGGAGAGATCATAAAACCTGTTCAAACATGATCTTGGTTCTAGTCAGGTCATTTGGATGGGAGACAAATTTGAGCTATCCTTCTTAGCCAGCTTTCATAAATTTCAGGTATGAGAATGGAACCTGTTATAATAAACTCATGAGGTATATATTCAATGAGAGGATGTTATTGTGTTAAATTATTCATACTATACAATTAATTGCTTCTTAAATTTAAATTACACCTCTCTTTATTTAGCATCCTTTATTTTATTCTCTTTCATTTCGTCGATGATGTATCACATTTGTTGTAATGATCATTATTTTTTTGGCTTTTTAGTAAAGGATTCATTCTACTAACTCTGTGATCTAAGTGAAGTGATATGTAGCAATCACCAAGGTTCTTAGCCTGAACATAATCCACTTACTAGGTAAGTTATATAGATCTCAGCATCAGTGATCTTGTTAGTAAAACTAGGAAAATTCTATCAATACAACAGAATTAATGTGATGATCAAATGAATAGTATAGGTAAAGAGACTACCTTTTCTTTTCTTTCCTCAAAAGCAGAGACTTAGAATGAAAAGTAGTTTATTTTTGGAATAGATCTTAGAAAATAGAACTGGGAGACTGGGAAGGATGAATTGGGAAATAAAGGCCACTGCAAATTATCTTAACAACCCGGTCAATGCTGGAGGAATTGTGGCTTGGTCCCCCAGTGAAACTCTTGAATGTCTGTGGGCAATGAATTTCAAAACAGTCCATCCAAGGAATGAAAGAATATTGCTCAAGGTTTGCTCAGTGGGATGTTAGTGACTCATATAAGGTTGTGTATGACTGAGAATATCTGAGCAGCTTCCTGGGGGTTTCCACACAGCAATTGCAGGGGAGCCTCAAGGCTGGAGGTGAATAAAATCTAAGTCATTTAGAACATATGCAAGGGAGATTTATAAAAGCAGTAGGTGGCCAGGTTGAACATCATGTCATTCCCAGGTGATGGTCAGAGATCTATCTTGTCACTAGACCGAGGTGAGGCCGTCACCCAGGGTCTTTCTAAATGAATGGATCATCAGGGAAAAGTGGAACAGAAATCTTGGATGCAGAGCAGTTTCAAGGCGATTTCCACAAATGAGAGATAGTGGCTTCTATGAAAGATTTTTAATACCCAGGACCACAAATATCATTAATGGCATGACCTACAGTGGTCAGGTGGCCATCGATCTGGCCTATAATGCCACTCAAGAATAAAAACACAACTAAAAATGGTAGTAATAAGAATCTATCTTAGCATATAATTTTACAGTTATAGAAGTTATATGCAGTATCTTCTTTGGCATTACCAGTGATTCTATGAGAAGGTATGCTATTATTCTCCTTAATTTTCAGGCAAGGGATTTTAAACTTTTTGAAGTTCGAAGGGTCTTAACCAAGGGTTCCTTGTCTTCATGTCATAAGGCAGAAGGAGAATCAAGGCATGCTTTGCCTTAATCCCATTATCCTAAAAGTTGCCTTGATTTTAACAAAATCTCCTCCTGTCAATTCCTTTGTAAGCCCTAACACCTACCTGCCACTTCCAGTTGTTCAGCAGCAGCCCAAGTGAGTTCCTCACTCATGTCACTGGACGCATGAGCAAAATTTACCATCAGCAACATTTATTTGCAATCTCATTGCCATTTGCAGTGTTTGACCTCTTACCAAGGATGCCTACTAGATATGAAGAAAACTCTCTTCAGATGCTGTGTGCCCCCAGACAGTGCCTAACATGAAGAAATGGAAACTCAAGAAAAGCAACATTTCTGATAAAACATAGGTGTCCTGTGACACATATACCAGTCCTAAGTTATCTGAAGAATTGAAAATATGTAACTTAATTAAGTTTATCTCTTTCTATCCATCTTCAAATTTTAGGACAACAAATTTAACTAAGTAGTGGTAATAAGGACAATGATGATAATCATATTATTGCTATGACTACTATAAGTAATAATAACTGATTATTGAGAATTGACTGTGAGTTAGGCATATGTTAAATGTAATTCCCACAATAATCCTTATATAGGGTATTATAGGTATCCTCACTTTACAAATAAGAGAATGGAGGTATAGAAAAGCTCAGTGAGTTTCCCAAAGTAACACAGCAAGGAAGTGGCTAATTCGATGTGGTCCAGGCCAACTTAGCCACTGTGCTATTCTACCTGGCTCTCCGACCCAAGCTGTCAATGTCTGGGAAACCATACTTTCACAAGTTCTCAAGCAGTGGGTGTAAGTGAAGTACAGCATCTCAAAGTAATTGAGAAAGTGATTAATATTTTTTTGGGGGGAGGAAGAGAATGAGAGAGAGAGAGAGAAATAGAGAGAGAGAGAGAGAGAGAGAGAGAGAGAGAGAGAGAGAGAGATGTATGTTGAGGGGTAGGGGCAAAAAAGGGTATTGCAGAAAGAAAGAAACATAGAGAATTGTTTTTTTCTCTATAGAAAAAAGAGAAGTGTCCACCCCCCTCCCTAGAATTTCAGAGTATATTTACAACTTCTTGGTTTCTCTTTTCTACTATAAACAGACATGTACACATTTCACTTTTATATTCCCATGACTGCTATAAAGATCAAGAGTGTTTTGAGTTGATTCACTACTTGACCAGACACAGCCTCCCTGTGTGCTCTCAAGAGGGAGGAAATCATTCCCCCTGCTGCCTCTCCTGCAGGCGGAGGCTGTCTCCCTGACTTTGCAAAAGCATCTCCAGATCCTAGAGTCCCAGCTGGGACAGGCTGCCTGGATCGAGCAGCAAAGGGCACAGTACACATATCTCTCTGCAAAGAGGTGACATACCCGATCAGTTTTTCCTTCGGTTTGAAGGCTGGTGTGACTGCGGACCTCGTGATCCTCTTCCAGGTCAGAAACATCCTCTAGCTCCTCTGGGGTCTGTGAACAGAAAGCAAAGCATCGCTGATGGAAATGCAAAGTGGAAAACAGTCCGGCAGTACCTCAGAAAGGAAGCAGAGACACCAATATGGCCCAGTAATTCCACTCCTACGAAAATACCCAAGAGAAATGAAAATGCATGCCCACCAAGCACTTGTAAACAAATGTTCATAGCAGCACCAATCATAATAGTCAAAATGTGGAAACAAGTCAAACAGATATCTACTGATAAATGGATAAACAAAATGCAATAAATTCATTTAACAGGATATTTTTGGCAATGAAAAGGAATGAGATACTGATATATGTTGTAATATGGGACATGGATGAACCTTGAAAATATTATAACCATAGAAAGAAGTCAGTTACAAAAGACTACTACATATTATATGATATCATTTACATGATATGTCTAGAATAGGCAAATCTCTAGATAATAGTTCCTAAAGGAAGGGGTGGGTGAGGAGAGAGTGGGCAGGACTGCTAATGGGCATGTGGTTTCTCTTTGGGATGATAACATTCTGGAATTAGATGGTGGTAATGGCCACACAATCTTGTGAATACACTACAAAACACTGAATTTTACACTTTAAAATGTTTACATGAGTGGTGCATGATTATATCCTAATACATTTTTGAATTAAATTTACTGGGGTGACATTTGTTAATAACATTATATAGATTTCAAGTATATAATTCTACAATATATCATCTGTATATTGCCTTGTGTGTTTACCACCCAAAGTCCAATATCCTTTTATTACTATGTATTTAGTCCCCTTTCCCCCTTTACACAAACTTCCCACCTCCTTTTCCCTCTGGAAACCATCATAGTATGGTCTGTGTCCGTGAGTTCTTGTTTGTCTGCTTGTCCTGTTTGTTGATTTGTTGCTTTCAGTTTTATATTCTAATCTATTTTGAAAGAAAAAGAATGTAAAGCTGATCAGAAGAAGTTTTTCTCAGAGTGAGAAGCAATCTGGCTTACTGGTAAGTGGTTATCACAGATCAAGTTGTTCAAAGGTGACTGGATTCATTGTCACTAAAGCCATACAGCCTCAACATGCCACTAAAGTTATTGAGAGATTAAATTTTCTAAGACCTTAATAAATAATTTAACATGAATTTCCATATCTAAATAGCTAACCTCCTTCCATTCCTTCCCCCCCCCCCCCCCATTTCAGCTTAAGCATCTCTGTTCAGAGGTGTCTTGCTCAGGAGCTCCCTCAGCTAGACTGGGCCCCTCTGCCATTCCTTTCCTTCTTCCCTCTGCTTCCACTATCATATTGCTAACCATACTTCATTGAATTGCTGTTTATATTACATTACATCACCAAAACCTAGCACATACATGCTTTTGAATGAATGGAGCAAAATTATCAGTGATAGCCAAAGACAGCTGGATATGAGCAAAACAACACTCATCAACAGCAACAACAAATACTTCTTCTAACTGTACCTTCACTGTACTCCCATCTTTGTATTCCAAAGTCAATTTTTGTGTGTTTTGTACTGTTTTTTTTTTTTTGGGGGGGGGTTGTTTCTAGATCAAGGTTTTTGTTCCCTTAGTCTCAAAGGGGAAATAATTTAAAGAAATCAGTCCTTATTGCAAAAACAAGTGTAAGTATGTAACAAGCATTAACGTACTATTTGTCTTAGTTTACATAGTCTCAACATTAAACTACGACTCTTGCTGAAAGTCCTGGTGAGGAAACTAGAATACAAACAATTAGGCTTCATGAAAAACTACCCAAAGAACGGGGAAGGTCTGTTATAGACCTGACTGAGAGAGACTTGGAAAGTGGCAGCCACTGCCTCCTGAGACCAGCTCTGGTTTCCCTCAGACCTTGCATTGCCTGTGGACTCTGTTTTCAGGACTGCAAGAGATTTCCTTCTCCAGAGATGGGAACAAATCAATTAGCACAACACCGTCAAGGTCATAACCACTGATAGCGGGAGGAGACTCATGTGTCTTTAACCAGCACGTTCTTTGTCCTCTAACACTGGCAGTCAGCATCATCTGTCTCTTTGCATTTATTTCATCTTACTAGGATGGGATATTAACATCCCCCTTTTACCAAGGCCTCCAATATGCTAAGTAATTGTTATCTATCTGTTGATCTCTATATGTAGTCCTTTGCTGCAATTAAATACAGCTAAAATCAGAGAGCAATTGACTCTCTCCTCTTAGGTATTAAGAACACGAGTTCACCACAATGGAACTTCTACACAAACACATATTTCTTATTTGCCATTTTGTGTGTCTTCTTCCCACAATATGCCTGAGAAATGATCTTTGCAATTCCCCCCCTTGACACATCACCAGCCCCTGTGACATCTGAATGCATTCAGTTGATCAAATTCCCTTTCCTGGGATCTGTTGTGCAGCTGAAAGCTGTCTGGTGCCCCTCCTGTGACCTGTTCCTTATAAATATATCTCCGTTGTTACTTGGATGACCCTCTACAATGTAGAGATCTATAACTTCATCATTGGTTCTAATATTTTATTCAACCCCAAAATAAAGTTACTTAGCAGGGACTAAGAAAAACTGCAGCTAGAAGTCGCCAGTACCATTTCTGCGGGTGATACTGCAGAGAGAAAAGACTCCCACTGATGCCCACACACTTCTGTGCTTTTCTTTGTCTTTAAACCACTAATAGTCTTCCTGCTAAGCCACCACAAGTGACCTCTTCTTTTCATGAGCAAAATCAATGTGGGAGTGTTCAAAACACTTGCTGGCAGCATTCTGCCTTCTGTAAGGCAAGCAGCTGGATGGCATTGAAAATAAAAATGTTAAATATACAATATTACAGTTTAAATTAAGTGGAAACTAAGAAAGGGATAGGAGCACTCTAATCATGGATAGGACAATACATTAACTCCTTCAGGACTGAAGACAAATAATAATAGAAAAAGCAGATTTTTTTTTTAACAGGAGGGAGGATGAGCGACCCTGTGTGGCATACTCACTGGTAACATCAGGGGTAAAACTTGGTGAAGCATATGGTTGTCTAACCCCTATGCTGTCCACCTGAAACTCATGTGAAGTAATATTGAATGTAAACTGTAACTGAAACACAAGTTTTTGTTTTTTTTAATAGCTTGTTTTTAACCTTTCTGGTGACTTTAGAAGGTTAAGTATCTGGAAGGTGTAGGTGGGGTGGAGGTTGTCTGTGTGTGAGATGTGTAAGCTTCTAATTAATTTTCATTCTATAGGGGGAGGGGAGGCAACTAACTTAGAGGTAGCATCCTGTGGTAGAAATACCCTATATTGTTGAGTAATGGAGACTTGAGTTTCAATTCAGGCCCTTCAATTAGTCATTATGTAACCTTTGAAAATTTGTGCAACCCTTTACACTTTGGTTCACTAGGAACCAAACTTTGGACCATAATACCTAATCCTGAAATTTATTTTGACACTAAATTGTACCAATATGCTTTAAGTAAGAGGTTAGCCCACAGACATAATTGAGGCATAGAAAGTTTGTTTCTTGCTGTTTGATGCTTTTTCTCTTCTTTCTTTACTATCCAGTCCTTGATTTTATATTTTTGATAAATTTTTGTGGAAATTTGAATACCTTTATTATAATACAAAATTATAACTCTGGATTGATATGGTGCTTACTAGCTCTCTATAGTTACATTTACTTACTTTGGAGTATATAAGGTCCCTTGCTAAACAGGATTTAATATAATTCCACATTCACTAAGTCCCCCAGATTTTGATGTCATTTGATCATGTTTTAGAGTAAAATTTTCTCTAAACTGGAAAATGGGTTACTCTAACAATTCTTAGGACTGTTAAAAATAACTCCTCTAAACACAGCTGTCTCTAAATAAGATCAAGGAAAATATGTCCAATTGTTTCTGAACAGTGTTAGCAAATTCAGAATTACTCATTTATTTCTCATCTCAGAATTTAGAAAAACTATTTTAAATTTTGCTATTTTATCTCTTATTCACTGTGAAGGCTGGGCAGCGCAGTTATTTGAAATAAGCTTAATTACCTTGCCTGTAAAATAGAAAAAGTACTATCCAATTCTTAGGTTATTGTGAGGATAACATAACATGATGGACATAACATATAACATAACTCAGTGATTAGAAAATACTAATGTTTCAATATTGTTTATGGTTACTATTATTAAAAGATCTTGGTTTATTTATGATAAAAGATCAAGTATAGAACTTGAAAATATTTAGGCTGAGTTTTTATATAGAAACTGGAGCTGCAATTAACAGTAGTTGATACATTAAATTTTCAGGGTCACAGTAAATTGGTGGGTTTTATATATTTAAAAAATACATAATACTGCAGTAGAAATAACTGCATTGATATTGTCTTTTTCTGCCTCAGAGAGCTTAGTGCTCTCTATAGATTTACTCTCATCAGTCCTTTTAGAATCCCTAGTGAGATAGGTAGCTGATGTCGTTATAACTAAAAATTAACCAGCACAGACTTTGTGAATGCTTAATATTGAAAGATTGTGAATGCTTAATATTGTGGCCATTATATAGCAAAAGGAAAAAAAATATTAACAGGAAGAAAGGGGGGAAAAAGAAGGAAGAGATGAAGGGAGGGAGGGAAGGAAGGAAGGGGAAGGAGTGAGAGAGGAAGGAAGGCAGGAAGGAAAATATAAAAGAAAGATAAGGAAATAGTAGTCATACTTGGCATTCTCTCAGAATTAAGGTTGAAATCTAAATCATACATATGATTTAATAAAAAATCATACTTCTTCTGACCATCGGTCACCAGCTTATTAATACTAAAATCAAATCACCACCATCGCAATGTCAGTAGATGTCCGCCACTCCGGGATGCGGTTAGGAAGGATACTCTGGAGATGAGCAGGAAGCTGAGGTAATATGTTTAATGAGATCATCCTAGATGAGCTATTAATTCAGGATGATTTTGAAATGTAGAATAGAGAGTCCATAATTTAAATGCTTAAAACAATAGGGATAGAAATATCAATAACACATTTTAAAACTATAGAAAATT